TATGAACCTTATGCTCCAGTTATCATTATTAACATGCTATTTTTCAGGATCCCTTAGTAAATTAGCAATACTTTACAGAAATAGTCATGGTAGTTGCTTTGCTAGTTTTGTCATATTAGCCTCCAGTCATACTGAGCCCAATGTTAAACATTGTTATTACTCTTCAATAAATAAAATGTGTGGAGCATGTCCAATAGCAGATGAAAAACATTTTGAACTATAACTTCTGATGCCAACGATGCCATTCCCTCTGGAATACACCATTTCTAGATGACAAGTTGGGTCTTTCCTGAGTTCATTTATTCTTCCTGAGTCAAAAGGCAGAATAGAAACTTGTCCATAAAAGTTTATATTATTGACATGTAACCAGCTCTTTCATATTTTTTTTCTGATATTTGCAGATGCCAGTGCAGGTGATCGAGTTCAGATCAATAATGTAGCTTCAACATCAGCTTCCAACTCCACCTGAAATGATCTCAAGCAGCAGCTTGTACAGGAACAATTACCAGTAATTTTGAGTCTTACTCAGCAATACTGGTCACGTTTGGAAAGAAAATGTAAAAAGAAGGGGAAAACCTGTTCATTATAGTGTTGGATTTTTTAAAAAATGTTGTTCTTATTTAACCTTGTAAAAAAACCAGTTTCATTGTATACTTTACTCTGCAGGCTCTTTGGGGCAGGGGAATAAGTGGGGTGGGAAAAGGGAAATGGATTATTAGAACACCAATTTCTCTTCCCATGACAATCTTCTAATTTCAGATAATTGCTGTTGTGTACTTTAGAATCAGGAATCTTATCTGACGCCCTCCAACAATCACCGCTATCATCAGAAAAAAAGGAAAGGAAGAAACCCCTCATTCTGCTGAAGCCTTGTATTTTTAAGTGAAGTTTCAATTTTTGGTGTAGTGCACAACTTGAATTTGGTTAGGAGTTTAACAAAAGTTGCTCATCTTGAGTATTATTTGCTGGAATTAAATGTCTTCATGTTGGGTGAGGAGGAAGAACAAGATGAGGTGCTACACTATGCTGAGTTGCCAAAGGGAACTAGGAAGGAGAGGGGGGGAAGTTACAGTGTGAAAAAAAGCTTGAAATAATAAGGAACAAATCATCTTAAATTTTCATTTGCCTCTGAAGAATTCTGCAGACATTATACTATTGGCTTGAATGTACCTATCCCAATGTTTTAGGAGTTGGATATTAAAAAAAAAAGTCTGGAAAACATAGAAGAAAGCCTGACTAATCTATACCCACACCTCAGTAGATGGGAGTTAGGTGTACATGTCCCTCCATGCCAGAAAATACAAAAATCCTCCTGCATTCTGTTCATTCCTTTTGATTCTAAATTGATTCTGTTTTGAGGAAGAACATTGGGGGGAAAGATGCAAGGATATAATGTGAATGGACATACTATTTTCATAGCATACAGGGCTTTTAAGTTGATAGATTTATTTAACGGGTAGAATTAAATCCTGATTTATACTTAAATTCACCGTTTTCAGCCTCTTCTTTTCTAACCTTTGTTTATTGGTTTTCAGAAGTTGTTTTTGTCACAATGGAGAATATTAATCTGTAGAAAAAGAGTTCACCTGCTCCAGGTGTCAAATATGTGTGTATGTATATATTTTGCGTTTTATATGTGCACACAAGCATTCATGCATATATATAGCGCTACTTTTATTTTTTACATCTAGAGCAGAAATGCCTGTTTGCTACGTCTTTGTTCTGGATAATTAAATTGTGGCCAAAGGTCTCTGTGACATGAAAGCAATATGCCTTGAACAGTTTGAGAAAGAATGTCATTACTAATGCATAAAGCACTAATGGATTCTTGTGACTAGCTTCCTCTTTGAATTGATAGCTGTACTTATTTAGCTTTACATCAGATTTGCTTTTCCTTGCAATATCTTTCATTGGTGAACCTTTTGAAATTAGATTTGGATCAAGGATAATAAGTAGTTTATATTTATTTCTTAGGTGTGAAGTCATTGGGGGAAGAAAAGTAGAGTCTCAAATGGAGAATGGGGCATGCCCAGAAAGGAGTGGTGGTTTCTCTAAAAAAAAATCAGATGTCTTTAAAGACCATACACATCACAACTTAAATTAGACAGTCAGGAAGCTGTCTTTCAAAAACTAAAGCTAGAGAACTAGAAAAGAATCCATAATGGGTGAGAGGCCTGGAAGACTCTCTTGCTGCATGGCTTGAGCCCACCGGCATCTTCCATGTTGAGCATGCGGCCGTCATAGTCAAAGCTCAGTTTTGTGGTCTGAATTCAGGAAGAGGAGATCTTAGGAGGTTTTGTATTATTTTCATTGATTTAAATAATAGAGAGAAAAATTAAAAGCTTTAACACTTTTTTTAATATGTGTATCTGTGTGCGTGTGTGTGTGTATATATATATATAAAAACTAGGATCCTGATTTTTTTTCCCTAAGGATCATGGCAGAACTGCAAGCAAAATTTTATATAAATCTAGATCCAGGTGTTTCAGTATCATTTTTTGTAAATAAACTGACAAAAGCTCCTCACCAAATTCAAGTTTGTACATTAGTTCTTAAACTTTTAAGTTGTATTGCTTTATATGTAAATACGTGGACACAGGAACTGTTATTAATGAACAAATGTTATCATTCAGGGCAGTTAATTTGTTTTAATAATCAGACAAAATGTAGACAAGCTTTTTAAAGCCATATAGTTCTAACTATGTACAGTAGATAACTGGCCTGTATTATTGTAACAATAACTCTAGCAATGTATAGTGTATCTATATAGTTTGGAGTGCCTTTGCTTCCATGATTTTTTTTCTTCCTTTTTGTAACAGATGCCTCATATGTGCAGATATGCTTCCCTTTTTTCAGCCATTTCATGGTCAGTAGCAGCGTTAAAAGAAAATGTGTCCAAACATCCATGGCTGTGTTCATCCTGTTGAATTGATAGCAACGAGTTACAGCTCAACAGTATCTGGATAGCCACCATTTTCCCAGTATTTTTGCACACTTATTTAAACATATCCCCACTAACTGGTTTCATTATATAGATAACACCTTGGTATCTAAAATGACAGGTTATCTTTTACAGATTCTTGCCCAATATGTTGTTCGGTAGGTCTTGTTGGATCACTGCTGATTAGAGCTTTTGCTTGGTCATGTTGTTTATTCAGAGACAGAATTGGAGATTGTAAAATAAGTAAGCAGCTGTAACTGGGGAGGGAAGTACTGGGATCAAATACATACACCTGTATATTTTAGATCTAAAAATCTTGTAAGCCTTTTTGGACAGAAAGAAAGTTGTGATATTAAGTGTCTATTACAGGGTAGGCAACCTCGATTCTTTTATGACTCGTGGACTTCAACTCCCAGAATTCCTGAGTCAGCCATGCTGACTCAGGAATTCTGGGAGTTGAAATCCACGAGTCATAAAAGAGCCAAGGTTGCCTACCCCTGGTCTATTACCATAGATTAGCACCTCTGTTCTCATTTACTTGCCAATTTTTTATGAACATTAATTTTTGTGCTCACTACAAGGGCCTTGCTTTTAAAACTCTGCTCATATATATTCAACTTGTTAATATTCTACATGAGGTTTTCTTTAATGGCAAAATGCTGAACTTTTTATCAAACCAAAGGTTGCTTTTTAAAAAGTTTTTTGTAACCATCTTCTGTTCATTCCAGTAAGACAGAGGAAGCCATTTTTCTGGTGACATAAAAGTCAGTGAAAATATTTTGTTTCTGACAGTCCATTCGGAATTTAAATTTTATGGTTTGTTTTTAAACTAAGTACCGTATAGTCTCTCAATCTATCCTTTGTCTGCGTTGCAGTTGTGCAAAATCCTAAAATGGCATTAATGATATTCTCTGTGTCATTGACTGAAAATCAGAAAAAAGGCACTAGTAATCTTAATTTTGAAGTATGTCCTTTCAAACAATGTTATGGATTTTTTAAACATATTATTTTAATGTCATCTAGCTGGTACTATGAATAAGCCAAGAAATAGTTGATGTCTGTAATTAGTGTTAATTTGAAACAATCCCTAATTAAAAATGTTATCAGCATTTTTCTCCATTAAATATCTTAGCCTCTAGAGATCAAAGCCAGTAATAAAAAGCACAGTTTGTTGTCTAACCCAGGACTGATATTTTTCAGATGTGCTCATCAGAACTCCTTTTAATTCCTAATATTTCTACAGGAACTAATTCCTTGCTTCATTTTGCAACAAGGCAATAAAAGCAAAATGACTGGTACCTAAAGGGTTAGCTTGAGATATGTCTCTTTCTAGTGTTGTTTGTTCTTGGTTTTTTGGGAAAAAACACAAAAAACCATTTATATATATAAATAATATGCTTGCTTGTAAAATTTGCATTTGTTACTATGTTGCTGATCACTTGGGCTTGTACACACAATTAGCGTGATCACTTTCATCTTAAAAGCAGAGTTCTAAATATATATATAATGGACTGTGGGTTGTATACAAACTATTGCATACACACGCAAAGCTGTCTTGATTCAAAGAAGCAAAACATGTATAACGTTATTACTACTTGAATGCCTCTGTGACTGATTACTTTTTCATTTTAAGTATAAACTTTTTTGTGGTATGTATGCTTAATGTTCATTATTTTATCTCCTCCCTTCGGCTCCTTTGTAAATACATTATGTTCTGTGTGACTTGGTTTGGAAATAGTTAACTGGTACTGTAATTTGCATTAAATAAAATGTAGGTTAGCCTGGTCATGAAATTTAAAAATTACAGTGTGTGGTCTTCATTTCAAAATATTTCCTGTCCATTACCTGCACTCTTTGCTGTGGCCTCTTTTCTAGACCTGTCCCTCTTCTCCACTCAGAAGGTGGGTTGGAATATAATAATAAAAGGACAAGGAATTGGCATCTTTTCTTTAAGTCATGATATTATTAGAAGCCAAAACAGGTCCTGTGTTGTGTTTGTTTTGGTGGGGAAAGAAGGGAAGCCTTTCATGAAACCACAGCCTCTACTGAACAGTTCACCCAGGGGGTGGGCTTAAGGGCTTTTCTAAAGCATTCTTTAGATCAGGTGCTGGTTCTAAGAGGGCACACTATCGTATCAGGCACCCTTTACCGTATCAGCACATGTTGTTTATCTTTGAACTGATCTTTTGTCCTTGATAATGTATTATCAAATGTGATGTTTATTTGCACAAGCAAAAATTTAGGTCAGATGACCAGACAAATCTGTTCTGTCAATATTCTAGAAAGCTAGATGCACAATCATGTGACTACTGCTTCAATAAAAAAAACCCAATATATTGCCAAAGACTCTTCATTTGTTATTGACTACACAAGCACTTGCTAGCTGGAGTAGGACAAAATGGGATTGGAACGTATAGGAAGTTGACTGAAACAAGCATAAAAGCCTCATTTTCAGATTACCTGCCATCTGCTTCAATCAGCTAAGTGGATTGGAGCCAGAAGTAAAACCATCCTTCAATGTTTTCTCTCCTCCTCCCCCACCCTGCTTTTCTATAGCATATTTGCTGCATTTTTTTATTTTGCTTCTCCTAAAATGATTTCTCTTGTTCTAATTTCTC